ATAAAAACGGTAACTTTTCAGCAGTGATGAGCTAACCTTGACGGATTCCTTCCTGTGTGCCAAACAGCGCCTTCCATGCATGAGCTCATGCGGCCCTCCCAACACCTCTTGCGGGGGTGGTTGCTGCTGACAGCCCCATTTTATGGATGTGAGAGCCGAGACTGAGAAGGTCAAGTCATTTGCCAAAATTATCACAGTCAGTCAGTGTTTGCAAGCAGTGAGTGGAAACATCTGTCAGTTAGTTTTCCACAGGGGTCCAGGGCTCTTTACGAAATGCCAGAATTATTCAAACACGAAAACAGAGCATTGGAGAAGTTGAGGGGCAATGGCCCGAACATCAGAAGCAAACACCATGAACCCAGGTAGTGAGGGGCTGAGCATCCCTCCCTGTGCCACCGCATTAGGTGGCCCCTGCTGTAGGAGTAGGAGCACCTACTTTAAGGAAGTCTTGGTCTGTACCAGGCGCTGTGTCATATCAATGTTTCCATTCACTCCTCACTACAACCCAGGAGAAGACCATTTCACAGATGGGCAAACTGAGGCCCTAAGAGTTCAAATGACAAATCATTCCCACTATTAGGAAGTGGCAAAGCAGGGTTTGGAACTAAGTAGAGCTGACACTGGGACCCAAACTCTCTTCGCCATTCTATTTTCTCCATCTTAGTAACACTCTCTCACGCCTCAGAAAAAGTGTTAGTGAAAAGGTATCAGAGAGCACCTGTTTCGCTAAGCACCTGTGAAACCTTCTCCCTCACAGGAAGGTAAACGCAGCCACCCTGAAAGAAGGAATATTTTAAAATTGTACTGTGCCCTTGCTGCGTGCCTGAAGTGCTCATGGTGCACAGGATACACCCCTAGGGCTTCTTTCCGCATGGCAGGACTTAGGATTTTAGGAATGTGCCCCTTTTGGGTGGTGCAGAGTGGTGGGGGTAATGGGACTCATCAGCCCGGAAAACACTTTCAGGAGGGGTTTAGTCCAGCCTCCTGCCCAACTACTGCACTAACTGTGGTCTCCCCACTGCACCAGACAGACGTCTCTATCCAGGGAGCCTCATTCTGACACTAGAGAGAGTCGAATCTATTTGTAGCATGTGTGTCTTTCAGCTGCATCGATCAGAATCCCCATATGTCAGAGCGGGAGGTGGGGCTGGGAGAGAGCTAATCTGTTGCTGGCTTCAGGCCTGTGCACTCATTCATCCATGCACCCAACATCCACTGAGCATCTCCCAAACCCTGGTTCTCTAAGAGAGCCCGGCGGCCAAAGGGAACACAGGAGAACGTCAGAACTGACCCCTCCACTGACTCCTGTAGCCCATTCAACAAATTTCATCTTTCCAATGGAAAAAGGTTAGACCAGAACAATAACTCCCTTCCACAAAAAACGTGGTCCTTCATCACCAGAACAAGTATTCTCTGTGACCCTCAGTGCATTGGCTCTTCGCCACAGGCTGTCAGAAAAGTGCCTCCCAGCTGTCCCTCACCCTGCTGCCCAGGATGGAGTCAGCACAAACACACTAACATCTCTTGGCACTGAGGGGAGTCTAGAATTAAATGGTTCAAAGGCATTTTTTTTTTCTGCCTCACAATTTGACCATCTTTCCCCTGGTACAGTGAAAGCCCCAATATTTGAAATTTATGATCCTTCAGGTGGGGACTGAGCTAAAATCTGCATAGAAAGGATTTTTGAAGAAAATTAATAGCTTGCCAAAAGAATTGTAAAGGGAATGCTTACTCTATTTAAGGAGGCCACTGTGCTAACCCTTTACAAACACTCACATGTCTGCCAACAATTATTATGCTAATTTCAAATGATTTTTACATGTTCATTAAGTCTCGAGCTACAAGTACTTGTCAATATATTATACTTTGAGCTGGCTTCAAACACCAGGTTTTCACTGAGCTGAAACTTCTTATGTACAAACTTTTCTGAACTAAGCGATTAACAAAGGGAATTAAGTTAATACCAAGCAGCACAACTACTCTTCTTTGGTGGTGATGAAAGAAGTCACTACACTTCAGGTATCTTACTGACTCGTGTTGGCTTCCATCCCGCTGATAGAGGATGAGCCTGAACCATGATGACCCCCAGTTCCTTTGCCCAGGATAATCTCTGTTCCATTTCTCCATCCTGAAACAATTCCTAAGAACAACGCTTTTTCACTCATAAAATTGTCTTGAGATGGGCTACAGTCACTGTAGATTTGATAACACAGATTCGAATTGTGCTCTTGCAAGGAGTTGGAGCTTCTTGACCAGCAACACCTGGTCTTCCTTCTACAAACCCAGAGAGGAGTCCATGAGGACGTTGTACCAATCAATTCCAAATTGGGATACCTGTTCAGAATGCCCTTCTGCTAACTAACCAGTCCGATGAGAAGGCAGCTAACTGAGGGGCTGAGGAGGATTTTGTTTGGAGTGCAAGTTGCAGGATGTATGTATGCATTTGTGAAATCAACAAATTGCAAGTACTTTCCATTCCGGAGCTGAATTATCCTCAAAGATAGATTTCAAATATTCCAGAGACTCTCACCCAGGGAGCCCTGCTAATCTATAAACGAATATTAGGTAATGCAACCAACAGCACTAGCTAGTGGTTCTCTGAGCCCCTCCTCTATCTTACCATTACTTGCCCTGGTCTACTGACTGTGGGCTGAGCTTGACTCATGAAACTAAGCATTTCTGATGAGACCAAGCCCCCAGACTGCCTCTAAAGGAAATCACTGGTGTTCTGCTGGGGCTATGCCAGTGCCCTCTCTCCTTTTTCTTCCTAAGATCTCTGCTTTGGAAACATGGGGCTTCTATCCTTATGTACAGAACATTAGAAAAGGAAGTGGAAGTGGACAGTAACTGGATGTGACTGGACTGGCTGAGAATGGAGCGATTTCAGGTTTTATAGCCAGTCTGTTAAAAGACAACTCAAACCCAGCCTTTCCTGAGGACTTGACTACAAATTTTCCCTGCTCACTCTTCACCTCAAACCTAGAAAAACATTATACACCTGATATCCGTTCTACAGTGAGGCCACGCCTGTCACAGGAGTACTGAACAGGATCTTTCTAGCACGACATAAATGGAGGACGTATAGCTCAGGCTTTTACCTTAGAGGTGGTTTGTAAAAGGAGTGAGAGTCCAAGCCATTAAAAAGACACCAACCGTGAAGTGATACCAGGAGAGCGTGTCTGTGTGAGTGTCGCAGACAGATAAAATGTCCCAGACAGATTAAATTAGAAATAGCTTAAAGCTTCGGAAAGCATGAGGGTTAAGAGACTTTTTAGACAATTCATGTGATTGAGACTATGACCAAGAAAAGGGTATGTCGGTAACAGACAGACGCAGCATGAAATTACCAATCACGGCAGACGTTATACATATTTCTCTGAGTTCTCTTTTCTTCCTCTGTACCCCTAAAATTGATGGGAGACGGATCAAACGCCACAAGCCTAGTCTCCAATTTTCCCCCATCCCTCCTACAAGGGCATTTTCTTTGACCATTGCAGCACCTGCCTTGCCAACAGTAGGTGCATCACAAACGTGGAAGGGACGGCAGAAAACCAGGACGATGAAACCGCTGACGTCCAAACTCTCCACAGAGATCCTCCTTCCAAACGGAGCAGCCTCAGCTTGGAGTGACACTTGACGTTACTGTTGCCCTTCCCCATCTAGCATGTGTCAGGGCTTCCCCCTCTTTCCCCTCTGCAAACACTGGCCGGGCTTGCAGCCTGCCACATCCTACTGGGGTGTCGTGCTTCCTGTTCGTCCCCGTGCCCAACCCGGGACACCCGTTTTTCTAAAGAACTGCATGAGCTTCTGTGATACTGGAAAAAAGTTCCCCAGTCTGGGTGTGATTTTTCAGGTATGATTCCTATCTGTCTTCAACCTCACGCCCACTGGAAAGTTCAGATTTTGTTGTGGCAGACCAGCATTCTGCCCACTGCGCTTTCCCAGACATATTTTCAATGTATTCCTTAGTGCAGTCTGCCAAGATTGATAAATCCTCCAAGCACTCCCATCCACTGCTTCCTTTTTACCCGCTGAACCACTCGCCCAACACTAGCAAAAGATGAGTTTTCATACTGTCTTGATTTTCCCTGACATAGGGCACAGCCTTCCTCCTTTCGCCTCCAAACTCCTCTAAATTGAATACTTTATGAAAAGAACTGGAGTTTTCTCTATCTTGGAATGCTTCCATTTTCCCCCAATCTCTTCTCCTTTCCATCCCACACCCTGCTCTTCCTCTTTCTGCCTTTCATTTTACCTTTATGTTACCCCCTCCCGTTATTTTTACCACTACCCAAGGATGTGCTCTCATTCTTGAGTTCCGAGCGATCAGACTCTTCCTGAAAACCCCAAATAAAACTCTTCCAAGACCGTCTTCATGATCATGGAAGGCTCCTGTCTGACTTGAGCTCAGAGTCTTGGTTTTGGATGCTGGAGAGGGGAGAATTCAGCAGCAGCCAGAAAGGCTTGGAGGAGGGTGCTGCTTGGTGTGTATTTGAAGGAACAGCATATGGGCTTTTTGTCAAGATGTGCAGAGCTCGCTAGTTTCTGAGCTGAGGACAGAAATGTGCTGCCACCTCTAAACACCATCTGAGCCGGTTCAATTCTCTTCTTCTCTTGTACAGCAATCGCCCCAGCGACCTCGGGTCCGTCATCCCTTTGCCCCCCTGGCCTCTGGGCTATGTGATACCAAGGAAAGTTTTGCAATGGAGTTGTACCCCAGCTGCACCGCCCACCCTAAGAAAGCCAAACCTCTTGCGTGCACACTATGGGGTATATATGCTGAGCATTGCCCCCCTCTTCCTCCCCAAAGAATCTCTGATACTTCTCACGAGCTTTCTTGCTTAAGCAATTAGTTCCCATGTTCCAGCGGGAGACACCAAGGAGTGACCAAAAAGACAGGCGCTCTGGCCCAGCTGCCTGCACCCACCCTGGCGAGTTCTGAAGAACAGGCCAGAAAGGGGCACTTTCCGGGTCTCCCCTCCTCAGAACGAGGTCATTACCTTGGCAGCGGCTTGCGGGCCGTGATACTAGCAACGATGATGCTCTCGGGACGAGGAGTGGCCACCGCTTTGAAGGTTCCTCGCCAGAACTTCTCAAAAAGCTGCTTCTCTCCCGGCTGGACGCTCGCCATAGCCAACCCAAAGGGGCCCGGGACGTTCGGGTGCTGTCCGAAGTGCTGAAACGTGGATTCCAAACTGGGGGCACACCCGGCTCAGGGCGCTGTCTGCGAGAAAGCCAAAGGGGTGGGGTGGAGAGATCTGAGTTCCGGGCGGGGGATGGGGCGCCCTAGTCTGGGCAGGCAGCGGAGAAAGGAGGCTGGTCTGCTGGCTTTCTTCGCCTTCTGGGTTGGCGGTCGTCTGCTCTCTAAGCTTGCTGAACTCCGCGCCCCAGGAAGGGGAAGGAGGGCTGGCTTTCTCGGCAGCGCCAGGAGAGAAGAGGCGACCGGGTCGTCCGTGTGTGCGTGCGCGTGTGAGCTCCGGCGCACCCGGGTTTTGTCTCTCGCACAATGTGACGTTGGGAGAGGAGGCTGGTCGCGCGAGCTGCACTTTCCTCCCCCCTCCGCTGTCTCTCCTCCTCCCCACCACCCCTCCTCCCCGGGCTCAGCCTCCCGCCGCCATCTGCATAACAAAAGCCCGCAGGTCTTGGGAGGAGAAAGGGCGGGGCGTGCGCCTGTCCCCGAGGCCCCGCGACCTCGGAGTTGCAGGCTGACCCCCGCCCCCCAGAAGCAGTCCTAGCCCCCTCCCCAACGGGGCAGGCAGGAAACCTGCTTCCCGGAGCTCTGATCTCCTCCATCATCCCGAGCATTTCTCCAGCCCTTCCTTGTGCCCCCTCGGGGCTGGACCACCTCCCATCCCGCAGCCTTCACAAGTCTTTCGGGGATCCGTGGAGGGAGCAAGTAAAAAAACTTAACCTCAGTCCAAACCGCTCCCGCCGCCCCCGCCTTCTGGAAGGGACGGCCGGGGCCCTCGGAGAGGGTCCTCCGTGCTCCTCTAAGCGGCTGGGGCGCGCGAGATCCCCACCACCCCGAAAGTGCTGCGTGACGGACAATCCGCCAGCGCTGCAGCATCTCGCCATCTGCCGAGCCGGGCCCCTCGGCGCGGGGCTACATCTGTGCTTGTGGCGCACACCCCCTCCACGGCTGGGGGATTCGGCGGCAGCCACTTTTCCTAACACGGCTTGTCTAGGGAATGGAGAACGTGTTGAAGAAAGTGCTTCAGGAGAGGTGGGCGCTGTCGAGGATCTGGGTGTTAAGGAAAACAGCAACTTTCTGGTCTTTTGTCCCTTTTCTCGTTCCCAACCCGTAGAGGTTCAGGATCCCAGTAAACTCCAGACTCGTAGACTCCCGGTAGAATCGCTCTTGTTTTTCCTGAGACTTTCACGACGAAATCCAGGCGGGACCCCTCAGTCCATCTCTCCCTTGGGGTCTTTCAGTTTCCGTAGAATTGCTATTCCCTCCCACCCCCAGAGTTGCAAAGTCCCGGAAGGAAGCCTCCCTGGAGCCTTCCAGCACCTGGCCGCGGGTCCCAGTCTCCGCGGGAATAAATCTACCGTTCTTGCTGACACTGGTGGTGGTCAAGGCCGGGACACCAATGTGAACTTGAGAAATTCTTTGAAAGGGGACACCAGGTAAACGGCGCGAGGGGGTGGGGGTTGGAGATGGGGCAAGACGGGAAGGAACCCTAGAACAACATAGCATCCGGCCGGAAGTGTAGTAGGTTGGGTTTGTGTGTATTCGATGTTTTTGTGCCGGCTGGAAGTCCCCGCGGCGCGGCTCGCTCTGCAGTGACCCCACCTGGTCAACAACTGGAGATGCTTTTGTTGGCTTCCGCCAGCCACCTCGGCCAGAAGGTGGGGTGCGGGCTGGGATGTTTGCCAGCGGAGGAAAGGGGACAGTATGCGGGCCCTTTCACTCTCACTTGCCCCCCTCCCCGTGCGGAAAATCCCCCATCCCTCTACCGTTCTTAAGCCCCTTGTCCCACCCTGAAGTTGATGTCACTTTAAATGCTGCTGAGAGCTGCCTCTTTAGGTAGTCTGGGATATTTCAGACTCGTTAGTCAGGACATTCGGGTATGAACTGAGTCACTCTCAGGGAAGGGGTAGGTGGGGTCTAGCTCCACAGGATCGATCAACAGCTCCCGGCTGCATTACTGTTCTTAATTCCTAGAAGGTTGACAAAGCCCCCACGTAAACAACATGGCCTCTTTTGAATCTGACGGCAGCCAGGTAGGTGAGGTGGGAGAGGAAGCTACTCGTACGGCCCCCTCCCCTTTTGTGGTACCACAGATCGAAACTTGGGCTTTTCACTGAGCTACATATCACCATTCTTTTGTTTGCTTTTGCTTCTGTTTTTAGACTGAGTCTCTTCAGGTTTCTTAAAGTTGAGGAAGTTGAAGTCAAGGACGGCTAAGTGACTTGCTCAACACCATTCTATGGGCAGCAAAGGAAGTCCATGAAAAATACAGTTTCTGTTTCTCCTTGCAGGGTGGGGACAGGACTCTTTGGGATACTAAGAATTCCAGGATAGGACCACGCAAAATGCTTCAGATACCAACGAGCAACATAGTTAGAAGCACACCATGTTAGCAACCCTCTGAGAGTTTTCAGTGAGACGAACAGCCCACTGTGGCATGGTTACCAAAGATTCACCACCACTGTGTTGAGGCTTCTGAGTTGAGAACCATCTATACTAAATTTAGGAATTAAGAATCAGCCTGTTTGGGTTCAAATCCCAGCCCTTCCATCGCTTGGCTGTGTGATCTTGAAGAAGTGACTTCACTTCTGAAGGCCATGCTTCAGTTTCATCAGCCACAAGGAGGTCCTCTACGGATTAAATATGCTTATAGACTAGCTGTGAGGATTAGGAGCATCAACAGATGTGCAGGCTACAGAGCAGCGTCTAGAGCACGTTTTACTAAAGAATACCAATTATTATTCGAGTGGCTAGGAGCGTAGCATCTCCAGTTGGAATTGAACAGAACTGGGGTATGAAGCCCGGCTCTGCCACTTTTACCTAGGTGATCTTGAGCTAATAGTTCATCAGTTCCCTCTCCTGTGCAGTGCAACATCAGTGCATACTTAATATGATTTCTAAAAGAATTAAATGAAATATTACTTACAGAGTGTCCACTTCACTGCAAGTGACCTTTAAATCAGCAGTCCTGTTAGGAACCAGGTCGCACAGAAGGAGGTGAGTGACGGGGACGCAAACAAAGCTTCATCTGTATTTCCAGCTGCTCTGCGTGGCTTTAATTCCATCTGAGCTCTGTCTCCTCTTGCCCTGTGAAATGCACATGCCAGGGACCTAGGTTGCGAGCTCCCTTGAATCCCCCACAAGCTCTCCAACCTCCACTCCCCCAACCCCCCAGCCCCTGACCTGTCCACAGAAAACCTGGAAAATTTGTTTTCCACAAATCTAGTCCCTGGTGTCAAAATCCAGTCCCTGCTGCTCGCAACAGTAATCTGTTAGTGCTGATGCTGTTGAAGTCATTTCCTGTTAACATCTTAAGCCAGGCCAGGTTCAGTTCAGCAGTTAAGCATTGATGCCCAGTCTTAGATTTTGGTTATGCACAATCTTAGGTAGGAAGACATAATCCCTTCCCTGGAGAGGTTCACAGTAAAATTCACCTGCTGGGTCCTCATTGCCTCTCCGTTTCCCTTTCTCCATATTTTCACAGTGAGTTAGACTTTAGGCCTGGCTTTGCCACTGTAACTCAAACTGCAGTTTCTTCATCACTTCATCACAGTATAACTGTCTATTTCTTATTTCCTCGGGGTATTGCTCTTTATTTTTCTAGGTGCAAGCAAGCACACTGCATAAGCTGAGACCTATCGATATGCTGGTTAATGGATATAAATGCATAACATAATTACTGCTTATCCTGTCCTTTGCCAATGGCAGGCATCGTTAATTCATCACAGAATCCTTCTCAGTGTGGTCTTCTACAGAGGCATGACTAATTGGTTGGAGTTGGCATTCTGTACAAAATCAGTTTGTCATTCCTGCCTAAAGGTTGCTCCTTTATCGGACTGGTATTGTTGTTTCATTTTTAAAAGGTGAAACCAGGGAGAAGTAAATCTAGAATTTGCAAATCCAGGCGCACTCTAGAGGAATAGTTAGAGATGTATTTGTATTGGTCAGCTTTCCCATTACTGGTACAGAATACCCGATACCTGCACTTTAAAGGAGGAACATTTTAATTTAGCTCACACTTTCAGGGGATTCAGTCCATGATTGGCTGACTCCAAGGCAGAAACATCATGGTAGCTGGAAAGCAGATTAGGGGAATAGCGCCAGCAAAGGACCAGACAGAGTACTCAACTCACACTTACATGACCCAGACACACCCAGAACTGTGCTTTACTAATCCCCTAGGCAATTCTCAAGCCAATCGAGTAGACAGCTGTTTAACCTTCACAAGACCCTCTAGTGATCCAAAGAGGCAGCTGCTCCAGCTAAACTCAGAGAAACAGCTGCCCCTCTTCCTGAAGCTGTTCCAATTCCACGTAATATTACTGTGTTACCTTGGGCAAATCCTTCCATCTCTCTGTGTCCTGCACTTCTCTGAGTACAATGAGGCTGATCCTTATCTAGCATCATCAAGGGATTTCAGGGAACTTGACAGCCTGTACCCATTTTCAAAAGTCCACTGAACAGTGAAAGATTCAAATAATTACTGAGATAATGGGAAATATGCTAATGAGACCAATCTGTCTTTGTGCCTTTAAACAGGATCACGCTGCACTATTAAAATTATAAGACTCTGAATTTCTTCATCTAAACATTTGTGGGAAAGTATTGTACTACTCAAGGTTTATCAGTTCTTGCTTTAGGAAAGTTCAACCCTGTGTCTAATCTGAATCCCACCTTGGCCATTTGTTGTCCATTCCTCTTCTAGAACTCCAAATGCCTTTGAGTTAACATGAATAAACCAAGAATACTCCTTTCCTGGTTGCACAGTTTCCTATCCTATTTCTATTTCAGGTTACCAATGTCCAGTACACGACTGGAACATAGTAGGAGATCAGTAAATATTGTTTTAATGAGTAGATTCCATATACAAGGTGGCCATACTAATGCCCATATTCCTCTAGCCTATATGCAAAAGGCATGATTTTGTACTCACACACTACAAATGAAAATACAAAATTCGCTATATACTGATATGTATACATTCATTTAACGATCTAATTAGTGATCTAAGGAGGTAAAATTTCATATAAACGATATTAAATGGTAACTGTTAGTGTTGAGGCTGTTGTAATCATCACCTGTTAGTATCTTAAGCCAGATGATGTTCAGTTTGATAAGTATTAACTGATACTCAATCATGGATCTTGGTCTCAGTCATGGGTAGGGAGGGCCAAAGATAAACATGTATATTATATGTACTATAAACATGTGTATTATCTGTACTATAAACATGTATATTATATTAACCGATTTCATCATCACAAAAACCCTATGATTAGATCCTGCCATTAATCGAATTTTAGATAACAGAAAGCTGAAGCTCAAAGAGTTGAAGTAACTTGTCCAAGAACACACAGACAGTGAAAGGAGATTCAGCAAATGAAAGTCAAAGTTACTTGCACAATCTGTGCCCTTAATCAGTTTTACAAACTGCCTGTAATATGATTTTTATGTTCAAAATGGCATTGATTTATGTGCAGGTATGTACTGGACACAGTACTTGGACAAGGACAAAAATAGATTCTGCTGTCATGGAGCTTATTACACCTAGTTGGGAGTGAGAGTGGTTATGTTAAATGTCATAAATAATAACCATGCCTTAGGGGAGAAATGATGTGACTGGGGATTACACCAATCTGAATGTAAAGGGGTAATATATATCTGAAATTATTGCATTTAAGTTGAGACCAGGTATAAAGCATTAGCCAAACAGATAGAGCTAGGAGATGTCATTCCAGGAAAGGGTCCGGGATATGCAAAGACCACACACTGGAGGGGTGGGCTGCCTTCAAAGACCGCAGTGATGGGGGAGTGGAGGCCGAGTCCAGGATGGACAACTGTGCTCCATGCAATGCAACTGACCTCTGGGTCTCAATGTAAGTGAGTCTCATCTTACCTATGAATGTAAAAGTAGAGAGCCACCATAATTGTATTCAGTTGGAAAAGCCAATGACACAACATCATTATCTTTAAAAGCGAGGTACCTTGGAACCCTAATGATACCCCTATATACATACCAAAATTTTAGATAAAAGCCAGGTAGATAGATCACGAAGTAACATTAGAACACATGATCATAGCATAAAGACACAGTTACTCTTTTTACAACCCTCTTTTTTTTTTTTCCGTTTTTCTGAGACAGGATCTCACTATATAGTTGAGACTGACCTGGAGCTCACTATGCAGCCCAGGCTGGTCTGCAACTCACAGCGATCCTCCTGCCTCAGCCTCCTGAGTGCTGGGATTACAGGCATGCACCACCATGCCCGGCTACAACCCTCTTCTTAGTTATTGAATTACTCCACAAGTAAATCTTCATGTCTCGATTTTCCTAAAATGTTTTGAGCTCTTCAGAATTGCCTAAAACATCTTTTCAACAGTAAGAAAGTAACTTCAGATTCAGTGGCCTAGACAACTAAAATTTAATAACATTGCTTTAATGTCATCGGATTTATGTTACAGATACTTTCCATTATTGGCATGTGTGATACAGACTTAAGTATGTGTACCTTATCTAAAATGCTGAGGACAATGATTGTTTCAGATTTTGGAGTTTCCCGGGTTTTTAAATGTTTGCATAGGATTTATTGGTTGACCATCCCAACCCAAAACTCTGAAATCTGAAATGCTCCAAAATTCAAAATTTGAGGTTGAGATTTCAGATTGAGTGCTCATTTTATGACTCACTTTTTGAAAATATTATAGAAAACAATTTAGAATATTCAAAAATAAAAGGACTACCATGAATCTCCGTGTGCCCATTGTCCAATTTCAGCAACTATCAATACACATTCAACTTTGTTTCATCTGTACACAGTCCCATTTTCCACCCTACTAAATTATTTTGACACAAATCCAAGGCATTGTGCTACTCTAGTTAGAAATGCTGCAGGATGTATCTCTGAAAGATACAAATTGTTTTTTTGGTTTATGGTTTTTAAAAGCAAAACTCCAATATTATTATACTAGATAAATTATCATTTCTTAGTATCATCAAATACCAAAGCCCAGTTTTCCCAAAGGTCTTTGTTTCTTGCTTGTTGATTTGGTTGGTGCTATAATTTCGATAAATGTCTAAGGGTTGAAGGCTTGTTTTCTAGCCCATAGCACTGTTGAGAGATAGCAGAAACTTTAAGAAGTGAAGAACAGTGGGAGGAAGTGAGGTCACTCTTTGCTTCCTGACTGCCATGAGGTGAGCAATTTCCTCAGCCATGCCTTCCTGCCATGATGTGCTGCCTCCCCACAGGCTCAAAATCAACAGGGCCCACTGACTCTGGACTAAAAACTTGAAAACTCACAAAACTCATGCCTAATTAAACACATGCCTCCTTAAAAACCTTTCAGCCCGGTTTCCCTTTACTGCCCCTACACACATATACTCTAGCTCTCTGTCTCCTCTATTTTCCTTAAGAAACTCGGTTGTTTGCCTACAGAGTTTCTCATCATCTGTAGTTCGCTGATTCTGCATGCCTGTGGCATTAATAACATGTTTCTCTGCAACCTCTATTTCCTGTTAAGTGGTGGTAAGAGCTAGAGGCTTAATTAAATTTAGGTTCAAAAGAAATTCTACCAGGAAGTGAATAATGCATGTTTTCCTCTTTCTTTATGATGCTAGTTGACACTGAAGATCATTGCCTACTTTATTTCTTTATTAGGGGTTGCAAAAATATGGGATTCAAATCTATCATTTATCTTTATGTATTAGCTGGAATGCTTTTGGAAAGAAATGCCCCTCATCAACTATTTGGATAACTCAGAGAGTCATTAGTCTATTAAAAAAAAAGCGAAGTAAATATTTGACCTCTTCTCTTTATTTGTTAGCTTATAAAATAATGTATTGGGATGCTACCATCCTTACAAGGTGCTGCTAAGTTGTTCGTTTATCCTTATCATGAATCTATAAATTCAAGTATATTTGATGTGCTTCAGTCCGCTGTTGTTATTTTCTTTAGCGATGCCTAAGTGTTCGCACCTTTACACGGGAAGAAACTAGTAAATTTGTTTGTGAGTCCTTTGATGTGACCTAGAAACCCTTTAAAGACTTTTGCTTTCTGATATATCAAAAGGCACCAAGTTCAAAATGTAAA